CCATTTTTTAAAGACCGATGAGGTCAATGGTGACATTAACTTAATTATTTAGTATAAAGTGTCGATATTTGGAGTATTTTTATAACTCATATCATCTTCCAATCTGCACAATGTTGCAAAATTATGCATGAGTGCAAGATCCATTGAAAATGGAAGAGACACAGCTTTTTGCTGTTAACTATTGTATAGTTTGATATGGTCACAATGTTATCTATCAGTTGTTGAGTTTTGTTGTAGTATCAAAGAATACCCATTGTTATCTTTCTAAAGGCTATTAAAATATTACCTTTCCAACTACATTATCTATGAGTATAGACTGCCATTATTCTTCAACCAAAACAACCTAACAGACTGAATGCAGACTTTAGGGCACAACTGGTTAAAGCACAGCACTATGAAGCTATCGTAGCCACTGCAGCACAAGTTCGATCCCGGGCCAGGGAGCTGACCAACATGGTGTGGCAGACCTCTCCTGACCTGCCCGCTGCTCCCCTCAGCAGTGTACTTTGTTTACCTGCCTGTTCTGCTCCCCACTCTGTCTCTGGTGAAGCCTCTCACCCTCCAGCACCTCTGACCTATACCCCAGATCTGTACGCATAAATAATCTTAAAAAAAAAAAATGTCAAATAGCATCACTATTCTCAAACATTCTTGAAACTCCTTTCCAGTGCTGATAGTATTAATACTAATGTATTAACTTCTTAATGAAAATTTTAATTTTCTTAATTGTAAATATGGTCATATAAGTATTTCTTTAAGACAGACAAACTCTTAGGGGTACTCAATAATTTGAATGTGGTAAGGTTCTGAAACCAAGTCCTCAAACTGATGGCCTATGTGAACCTAAAATTACTTTTAAAAATTAAATTATGCTCAAGGTGTATAATTCTATCTGAAAAGAAAAAAAAAGTTGGTATAAAGTAACATTCTCAATACTCATGAAAACTAAGTCAGAAATACTGTAAAACCCTTTAAGACTTAACCATATAAGCTATTTAAGTGATTAACTAATATCACAAAATAAGTTTTCTTCTGAACAATTGTTTCTTGGCATTATTTTCTAAGAACCAAACATGTTCAAAATAAAGGTTGGTCATAATGTAAAGTACACTTACTACTACTGTGTTTTTGAAAATTGTTAAGAGGTAGATCCTAGGAGTTTTTGTAGGAAAAAATGGGTCAGTTAAAAAACTTCTCAACATAAATCCTGGGTATACATTGCATTGACAAGTATAATCATCAGTTTATTATTACCTATATTCACCTAAAAGGTATTTTCTTTTAGTTAGATATTATATTCAATAATATCTCACTGTCTGGAAGATTTGTACTGGAAATGTCTCAAATCTTCCTATAAAAGTTGAGATTAGTAATGACTAACAATCTTTTAGTTTCTACAGGGGAACAGAAAGTATCCTGGACAAAATTTTATGAAGAAACCTGCCAGGTATAAACATTAACAGATTATGCTGAATACACTGAAAGTAAAGGTTAAAACTTGCCCAAGCCTTTTGTCTATTAACACAATTCTCACAATCTATGAAGATGAAAAGCAGTTATTTGTTCAACTACTTAAGTAGCAATATGCAAATCAACAAAACCAGGCTATCTGGCCCAAGAAACTAAGCTTAGTTGTTTTAAATGCTGCCCAGCAAAGATCTATATACCCACTTCTCTATGGACAGTAGCTCATTTAATTTCAAATGGTACCATTATACACTATTCCCAGATATTACAACCCTTATGTATTTATTAGAACTCTAGGCCTACAAAATGCCTTGAGAGAATGACCTATACATGGTTGAAAAGTCACAGAACAGCAGTAGGAGACTCTTCGGTTAACTCTTCACCTGTCATTCCTCAGTTATTACAAGGTCAAGTTTTCACCTAGATTTGGCACTCCCAGGTGCCAACATAGACAAAAGAATCAGTTGCCAATCTGCTAATTTTCACATAAATATTTAAAGACTGTTTCAGAAGATACTTTTAGCTTTTCTGTGCCAAAGATAAGTAAATGCAGCTAGCTGTTGACTAAATCCTTAACACAAAAGTTAACCAAAGTAGTCAGATATTTTACTGTTTCTATTTCAGGTAGAGCAATCCGTGGCTTGGGAAGGTGGTGGCATATTGTGACTGAGAGGAAGAACAAGGGACTAAAGAAATTGGAGTTATGTTTTCCTTGCTCTGTACCCTGATTACTCAGGCTTTGTTCATTTTAGGCACTTTTAGTATCGTGTTACCACTATTTTGCCCAATTAGACATATATAAAATTTCATCTCCCATATCTCATGTATTCTTTTACCTTTCCATTAGTTCCAGAGTATCAGTAAATGACCTGATTTTCATTCTCTTCTTTATTTGCTCCCCTTGACCCTTGCTCATCTTAAATTCAGTAACAGGATATCCTTCACCAATATACTGTTTAACAATTCTTATCACATAAGAAATTGCACAGTATAGTTAAATGAAAGCTTGTCAAACAAGCACATAATGAAATACACATTTATCTCCCTCATTTCAGGGGCAGAAGAGAGTGCAGTAACTGTCATTTCTCTGCCTCAGAACTGGTCAATTACTATAAGGTGTGAAAAATGCAGGCTATAACACCTATTTGTTTAAGGTTCTTCTATCCTTTTAATATCTTAACATAACTCATTTCATTCCCCATCTTTTCCAAATGATAATGAAGTTAGAAAATTATATTGCACATTAAGTGGAATCATGGAATGAGTACTTTATTCATAATTCATTCTTCTTTGTATTTTAGATTACATGTATTTACTGTTTTCTAGGTTACATCATTTCTACAAAGGCTAAAATGGCTAAAAACTTCACAATGGGTTTATTCTTTAAAAAACAGCCTCAAAAGGCTGTTATTGAAGATTTTAATATGTATTAAACAATCCAACAGTTATATGGCATTGTATTTGGAAATATGTTCGTATAACCCTGATCTTACTAAAGGGCAGGTAATTTTCCCATATAAAAGTATTTATTAACTTGCTAACTAGCTTTCTACCTGGTTGCTAACAAAATCTGAAAATCATGCTGACTGTACATTTCCAAAGTAACATTGTAAGTTGAGTACAACATTTGAAAAAAGATGAAATAAACTTACAAAGTTAAATTCAACACACAGGTTCACCATGTGATAGATGTCTCCTATGCACATTAAGTGAAAAACAATGGGTCATCTCCTACATGTTTCCCAGGATGAGTTATGAGAGTTAATGTCACAATGTTTGCCTACACAAAATTTTAATTAGCCACACAAGTAGGAGAAAACCACTTTTAATTGAAAAATAAAGCAATACATCTCAAATAAGACTCTGGCCAACAACATAAAGTATAATTTGCCGAAGGGAATAGCTTTTCTAAGTGGTATTGTTGAGTTTAGGTGTCAAGAGTATTAATAGTTCCCCTCCTTTATCCTGACTCAGCTATAAACATTTAAAAAATAAGGACATTCTCATGAATTTAAACTGCAAATTTGTAAAGTCTATCCCTATACCCAATCCACTAATAAAAGCAGGGGAGACATTAAACAAACATATCCATCCTGAGGATTCCCAGTTAACTTCAAATAAAATCAGTATTTTCCTGATACAAAAGGCATATAAGACTATTAAAGATATTTAAGTAATCCACAAAACTTCAAAGCACGATTTCATCAAGATGATCTCTATTACAATTTTGCTTTAAAGTTCTCAAATCCCAGAATGGCTTAACTTGACATACTGGAAGTAGTAAACTTTGAAAGAAAAGTACTAAAGTTATTGCTTTAAACTGGAATAACCTATCATTAAAGGTCTCTTTGAAGAGTTTATTAAAAAGCTATTCTTACAATTACACTTATGTAACTGCAGAGAAAATATTCAAGCACATAGTAAACATCACTCTTTCAAATGACAGAACAAAGGCATATGTTCATTAAGATGTATGGCTTTTTTGGTGGTTGCTATTACTACCCATAAATAAAATCACTGCTGTTTGAATGCAAAAAGGTTTTACAAAACTTTGCTTCCAAAATTAACATTTTTATTAAATCAAGTTAAAAAAAGTTCACTGTAGAAAAGTCAACAAGGGTCTTGACAAAACCAAAATATATCTTTTTTATACAATATATGTATATATTAGCAGCAAACTACTTCTGAGATTTTCTTTTATGTTCTTTTAGTTATATTAAAGAAAGCATAAACATGTATGTTAGTATGGAATGTCAGCTAATCCACGCTTCCATTTTTTTCATTTGTGATTTGAGCCTTCTAGAACAAGTTACCTTACAATTTTTACTAATGACCACTAAGAATAAACCCAGTTTTGACTAAAAAGTAGCGAAACAGTACAATCTGTCTCACTACTTCATAATTATGCATTATCTTTGAGGGTAACAAGTGAGCACCATATGAACAGACAATTGTATGTGTGTGTAAACTCAAATTTTCAAGGTGTAATAACAGCCATCTAAACACTGAGGATTTGACTGTTATTTTTTAAAACTTTTTGGACATACAAAATTTAATCAAATCAGATTAACATTTTAATCCCATATTGTCTGTCCATTTAAAAAATTTTAATAAAAACTTTGTATGTAACCTGACAAACTGCAATAATACATGTGCATATATATGTTTAGGTTTAAAAGAATTTCTAAACTGAGGTGACGCCAAATCCCATTTAACTGTGTATATATAGAATATAATATCACCAACCAATAGTTCCTAATAAAAGTTTAATCTTAGTTAATCAGAAATACTGACTACTGAAAATTCTGAGACCAAAGAGCTATATATAACTCAGCTGCTTACTATACTCTAGGCTTACAAATTAGTCTGCCAAACAAAATTTGAAGATACCAACTGCCCACCAAAAAAATTTCCTTTTGATATTCCCTTGTAGTAGCAAAAAGGAAATTATGAGTTTTCATTTTTTAGTGAAAATTATTAAAGAAATCTAGTTTTCAAAAATATTAAACATTATATAAATACAATTCTTATAGTTTAATTCTTCAGCTAGAATCTGCATTAAAAAAGTTTCCTTTGGATTGTTTCATTAGCACTTCAAGTTTCTATTCTGCAACTCTGATAAATGGCTCAGATCTGTTAGGTTTATATCAATCACATGTTTCAGAATTTGCTACTTTGTGTTCCATGCATATAAACATCAATGGAAGGAACTGAACAAAATTTCAAAAGCCAACAAGGGAAAATTCAAGATGATATAATATAAAAAAAGATAAAGTACAATAGGGTTCCTTTTTCAACATTACATTAGTGAAATATAATCCTTCTAATTCTTTTTAAAATGTAACTGTCACTTCTTATCATGAGAATGAAGTTTTATAGATGGCTCACCTTTATTTTTCAATTAAAAACTAGAGCAATAGACTGAATTACTTTTATTAATATACACATCAAGTTATTGAAACGGCGACTTCTTCCCTTAAAGATGGCACTTGTAGGTACAAAGATGCAAAGATGTGTACAGCTTTCAGATGTTTACTTGAAAAGATTCTTCAACAGCAGTTTGATATTGGGTTTCCTCATCTAGCTGAAGATTCTAAAAACAGTAACATTAACATGTCATTAGGGAAAGCATATTTCTCCACTCAGCGCTCTGTCCAATTACAAACACTAATACACATTACAAATAATCTAAAAAGTTTATGTTACAAACATATAGTGTCCTTTAAATATGTAAGATGTACATATCTGTGTGACTGTAAGTATTGAGGAATAATTAACAAACAAAAGAGGATCAATAGAGAATGAAATTAAGAGTTACAGTGCCTGAAAGTCGAAAATATAGTTAAGAATAACTCATAACCCTAAGTGATAAGGCATGAGATAGATCCCCAATCAGCTCCTGCCTAGCCTGCTGATCCTCTCAGCAGTGTAACTCAGTAAATCTGCCTCTCCTCTTCTCCACTGTCTCTAGGGAATCTTCTCACCCCCAGACATCTCAGGCCTGCCCCCAGCTCTTGTATGCATAAATAAATCTTTAAAAAATATACATGTATATATATTTTACAAATACATAGTTCTCACAAAAAGAATTTTAAAATAATGTACACTGTAGAACTCTCCTACACTGCTGGTGGGAATGCAAACTGTTTGGAGGTTCCTCAAACTGCTAAACATGGAGCTTCCCTACGACCCAGCAATCCCACTCCTAGGTGTCTACCCAAAAGACACAAAAACACTGATTGAAAAAGATACTTGTACCCCCATGTTTATTGCTGCTTTATTTACAATTGGAAAAACATGGAAGCAGCCCAAATGCCCAAAAGTAGATGACTGGATAAAAAAGATGTGGTACAGGCCCTCCCTGGTGGCGCAGCGGGTTAAAGCACTGCACTGAGAAGCTTAAGCCACTTCCGCATGAGTTCGATCCCCGCCTGCCCCGGAGGTGACCACATGGCGTGGCAGACCTCTCCTGACCCGCCCGCTGCTCCCCTCAGCAGTGTACTTCGTCTATCTGCCTGTTCTGCTCCCCACTCTGTCTCTGGTGAATCCTCTCACCCTCCGCATCTCTGACCTGTACCCCAGTTCTGTACGAATAAATAAATATTTAAAAAAATTAAAAAAAAAAAAAGATGTGGTACATATATACAATGGAATATTACTCAGCAACCAAAAAAGAGAAACGTATGTCTTTTGCAGCAACTTGGATGGAGCTGGAAAAGATCATGCTTAGTGAGATAAGTCAGAAAGAGAAAGCAAAATACCGGATGGTTTCACTCATAGCAGGAGTATAATGGACCAGGCAAGAAAATAACAAAAATAATGAACAACCATATACCAGAGACATTTTGTGGGAGTGGAGTGGGGAATGGGATCAAAAACGGGGGGCGGGGGGGGGAAAGGGAGGGAAATGCATGGGACTATGGTGGTAGTACACGGGTGATTTGGTGATGGGAAACTAGTGGGGATTACAATCGAGATGGAAAAAAAAATGTGCAAAGTGATGTAAAAATAAACTTTTGTAATAATTAAATAATCTACACTTTAATTGTAAAAATGCTAACTATGTATTAGAAGACATCAGCATTTTATAGACATTTGAACTGCACAAGCCTGTGCTTACTGGAAAATTAGTACCAGCCATTCTTTGTCAGTAATATCTTGACTTAGATAAGATTTTAATCACTGAAGTTGAAAAAAATGCAATTTCACAATTTTTTTTTAAATCATCATTTAATTTTTTTTAATTATATACATTTGGGAAATAAACCCCACATTTTATTTTGGGGGTGCTTTTGAATGTAAATTACCGTTGCTTATCCAGTAAAGGCAGTCATCTAAGTCCAGAATGTACCATTCAACCTAACTACTTCATTTAAAAAATGTCTAACATGCTAGATATGAGAAGTCTATTACAGTGTAGTAAGTGAAGTACACTGTGAGAAACACATATTCCATCTATTGTACCAATTTCACTTTTCGAGCAAGTACAACTTTCCCTAGAATCTAGACAGTTTCCATGAAGATAATCACTTTGCTAAAATATAAGTCACTTTTTCCTTTATTAAGTATCTCTCTAGTACAGGTGGACAATAAATTCAACTGTTACTACTTCTACATTGTCAACGTTCACCTGTATTATTATAAGAGCAATAGAGCCCTTTATATTCATCCAGTGTCACATACCAGCTTGCATTAAAACTCAAGTCTAGGCTAATATTTATTAAATATTTAAATAATACTTTCTTAATCCTAAAGAATTCACTTACCACAAATTCTCCATAATCAAACTGATGTCTTTGATTTAGATGACTAACGAAATTTCTAGTAATCTGGCTAGGATCTCCCCAAGGAAGAGATACACAAATAGGACACGTCTATAGAAACAGAATGTTTTAAAGAAAACAAAAAAATGAAAAAAAACGAACATTATAATTATTAAAGGTATTAAAACAATATACTTATGTTACCAAAAACATCTACACAAAAAGCATTTCTAAGGGCCAAAGTCCATGTTAGATAATTTCCCAGCCAAATTATATTAATTATACTAATCTAACACAACACAATGATGGTATCTTACATATTTTATTAAATCTGCAATTATATAACTATTTCAACAGAAACACTACATATAGTCTTTATTAACACCAATTCTAATAAGTTATTAACCAATAATTGTTATCACTGAACAGTGTATAAAAATCTCATGTGAGCCACACAAGAACTGTGATATAATTATTACCTTAATTTTACCTATAACTAAAATGAAATTAAAGTGAATATCTTAAGGTTTTAAATTTTTCTCCTTATATTTTTGAGTTAATGACACATGAAACAATATAAAAAGTAACTCTAGTAACTGTACTCTAGACAAAATTTATGCTATGTGTTGAATATAACGCAGAAAACAGAAATCTGCTAATGTAACATTAAACAAATAAACTCTTAAACATAGGGCTTTTTCTTGGACACATCTTTGGCAGAGTAATTTAACAGGAAGTAGATGTATGTCTTTCACTAGTGTTATGCAAGAGCTTATGGTCATCCTCAATAGACTGAAGAACATTATTATTTTATAATATTTTCTAGTATACTTACTAAACCTGCTTAGAAATATCTGTAATTCTTATTTATAGCACTTTCCTGCTATTTAAAAATGTATAGCTAAAAAAAAATGTATAGCTAAAAGGGAAAAATTTTATCTTCCAGCTCAGTTTCTCCTGTTTCACACACAGTTTAAATCACTTAAACACAATTCAAATGAGGAATTACAGGATCATTAACACAATTATTGGAATCCAGCACTGCTTTCTCCCTCGTGCATCTAAAAATCTTACTACTTTCTATACACCCTAAAAAAATATATATGCAGAGAGTATATGGCTCTTTTACTTCCTTGTTTTATGCATTTGTATACTAGATTTTATAAGGACACAATTAAAAACACCTACTGATTTTATATACCAATTATACCTCAATAAAAAGCTTAAAAGTACCTAACAGATTTTATTCTTACTTGCAGGTGCTATTTTCACTTGTAAGCAGAATCACCTGATCACACTCCAAAAACCTGAGCGGTCCTAATAAAGAGATCTACCACTCTGGGTCCTCTCTGGTGGCGCAGCGCGTTAAAGCACAGCACTAAGAAGCTAAAGCCACTTTAGCATGAGCTTGATCCCCGCCCCAGAGGTGATCCACAAGGCGTGGCAGACCTCTCCTGACCCCCTGCTGCTGCCCTTAGCAGTGTACTTCAGATATCTGCCTGCTCCCCACTCTGTCTCTGGTGAACCCTCTCACCACTCCCGCACCTTTGGCCTGTACCCCAGTTCTGTATGCATCAATAAATAAATCTTTTAAAAAAGAAAGAGAAATCCACCACTCTTCAGTAAGGAGTACTTAGCTCACCTTTCATTATTTCACCTTCGCTAGGCTGTTCTCCTTTACCTTCACATCTCCCTTTTTCAAAATGAGAGTTAGCAGATTTTAAATATCTCATTTTATTTCATAGTTATCAGTCTTCTGTTTGCAAAAATCTAGCTTACCAATAATCTTACCAATAATGCCAGATCCAAATTTAAATAAACTACGTTTCCTTTTTGGGAAGTAAAATAAATCGAACCATAAGCAGATCATCATCTGAAACATAGGTACTTACCACAGGAACTACCTGAAATAGGTGATTACTGTTACAATGATCCAGTAAACGCTGCCTGGTAAAATTTGATTCCTGACACAAGGGACACTTAAAGGTAGGATGTCCAGAAGAACTATAAAATAATTTAAAATAAAGTATAATAAATACATAATTATTACATTATAATGATGCGTTCCTATTTTTCAACCAGTTACCTCTATTATCTGAGTAAATCTTTTCATTGCCCCTTGTAGGCAAAATAAAACTAAATGCAAATCTAACTGTTTTATTTATTAAGTAGTTAGGTCCAAACAATTTAAATCAGTTATTTGTGAGAGGCCAACAGATGTCACTGTTTATCTTTTAAAATTTTTAACTATCCTGTGGGTCCCAGTTTAGAAACCCCATGCAGGAACTAAAAACTTAAAAGACGTCCACATGCATCAACATGGCATCTTTAATCTCTCAGTCTCTAGGAATCAAACACATAAAATTCATAGCTAAGATGAGAATCAAAAGAATGGACTGTTAGAATGGTTAACATTTCAAAACATTTTGACAATCACGCATTCCTGGGTTTTAATATTTCTGGGTTTCAGCAATGGACAGATGAATATTGATAACTACATGTCAATTATGCATGGAAAAAACCTGAGCACCAGAGTTAGAGGATAGATATAAAGTGCTAATTTCATGTGATCAGTACATATAGTAAATGCATCACTTATTTCTAAACTGCTAAGTTAGAGTATGATTTAATTGAATTTTTAAAATTTAAAAATCTGTTATTATAAAATGATATAAAATAAACTATTATATTAAAAAATCTGTTATTATAAAGTGAGATATTATTTACTAAAATAGCAAATTTGTCAAAAGTTTACCTTGTACTCTCTTGGTAAGTTTCTGTGTTATCAGATGTGGATGTTTCACTCCTAGTACTTAAGAAGCATAGGGGGTAAAATTAATATACCTCAAGTAATAAAGTACATTCCAGATTCATTAACTTGAATGCTAGTGAATAGCATAGTCTGAATTTGCTTTAGAAGGGAATTCCAAATAGTTCTCAACTATGAAATAATTATGGCATTAATTACTTTCCAAACAAAATTCTGATATGACTCCTTAATAGGTGTTTAGTCACATCTTCTAAAATGAACTTATGCACAATTATTAAAGAACAGAGGACACAGAATTTTACAAAATTATTTTAAATCCTTAACATGTATATTTCCCCAGATCATTTAGAATTTTAATGAAGAGACTCCTACCTAGATTAATAAGCTTTTGAATGCTGAGGCAGAAACAAAAATTTATAAATAGGGCCTTCCCTAGTGGCGCAGTGGGTTAAAACAATGTACTAAGAAGCTTAAGCCACATGGCGTGGCAGATGTCTCCTGACCCGCCCATACTCGTGATCTGCCTGTTCTGCTCCCCACTCTGTCTCTGGTGAAGCCTCTCACCGCCCCCACACCTCTGGCCTGTACCCCAGCTCTGTATGCATAAATAAATAAATCTTTTTTAAAAAATTTATAAATATTGACTTTGTAAATAGGTTGTGAGCTCCAAAGCAGAAATCCAAGTGAAGAAATTATTTGAACACATTCATTATGCTTTTTTAAAGGATGTAGGCTTTCTAATGTTTAATATACAGAAAAACTTGACATTCTCACTCTGAGTCACACATCACATGCAGCAGTGGGAATCCTAAGGGGTGAGTGGGCAGTATGTATGGGGGACTATCACTTAGGTTTTACTTCAGGAATTTTACATCAGGAATTTCATCAGGAACTTCACTGATGTTATAAAATGCAGAAAGGAGATAGGTAGTGGACAAAATTACCACAAATACGTTTACTGTTCTTGTATCTGAATATCAGCATTAAAAGTTATCAAGCTCAGTAAGCTTTTTTTTTGCACTTGGTACAAAAAGTCTAATGGTACTATGTTATTCAACTAATAAACAGGTATTTTCTTTTTTCATTTGTTTTTCCTACTAAAGATATATGTAAAAAAGTATAATTGGGCCCTCCCTGGTGGCGCAGTGGGTTAAAGCACTGCACTGAGAAGCTAAAGCCACTTCCACATGAGTTCGATTCCCGCCTGCCCCGGAGGAGACCACATGGCGTGGCAGACCTCTCCTGGCCCGCCCGCTGCTCCCCTCAGCAGTGTACTTCGTCCATCTGCCTGTTCTGCTCCCCACTCTGTCTCTGGTGAAGCCTCTCACCGCCCCTGAGCCTCTGGCCTGTACCCCAGTTCTGTATGTACAAATAAATAAATCTTTAAAAAAAAAAAAAAAAGTATAATTGATATAAAGACATCCTCCAATGAGGTCAGTTCCCTTCTATGATGGTAATAATGCTATCTCTATACACATATTCTATATTTTTTTTTAAGATTTATTTATTTATGCATGCAGAACCGGGGTACAGGCCAGGGACAGTGAGAGGACTCACCAGAGACAGAGTGGGGAACAGAAGAGGCAGATCTACAAAGTACACTGAAAGGGAAGCCGTGGGCGGGTCAGGAGAGGTCTGCCAAGCCATATGGGTCACCTCCCTAGCAAGGAATTGAACTTGTACTGAAGTGGCTGCAGCCAGCCTCATAGTGCTATTATTTAATCCACTGTGCAACCAGGAAGGGTCCTACACACATATTCTATGCCAATGTTTGATCCAAAAATACTGGTTGTTGCCTTGATTACTTTTGTTATTTCATTCTGTTACCTGTGTTGTATAATAACAAGACCTGCTCCAAGGTCCTAAGCAATGACCACTGTTCCATCACTTAACATTGTGATACTTCCCTCAAATAATTTTGAATCGAGGAAATATGGCCTCCAAACTAGCTTTAAAACTTTTTATTCCCCAAACTTCTTTAAAGTCTGCTGCTAGAGAAACTAACACTACTGTATTCCTTTCTAAAAAACATGAATTTCTCAAACAGGCTCCTAGCCACAAATTTAATTTCCTTTAATCCCAAGTTATTTTTCATTGTTTGCTCAGTTTCTTTTTTGACATTGAACAAAAGATTCTGAGAACTTCCTCCAAACTGTCCATTTGGAAAATAAAAAGCATTTTTCAAAAAAGAAAGACAGAAAGAAAAATACAATCCATAATATTCCTACCTGTTATTGATAACCACAAAGATTAAGAAACAGAAAAAAGATACATTTGTATAGCACCAAAAAAGTATATAAGGTTACCAGGAAAAATATAATAAAACATTTTTCAAGTGATCTAAAAGGATTTCCTTTTGTATATTTTTTTAAAACTGGAAGACTTTTTCTAGGGGAGTACCAGTATTATATACAATGACAATTCTCTCCAAATTTATCTACGATTTCAATAAAGTCAACTTCTATAATGTTTTTGATCAAAATCTCTACAGGAATTTTTGGGAAACTCAAGTCTGATACTAAAATTCTTACAGCATAGCAAAGAATTGGGTCCTCCCTGGTGGCACAGGGGTTTAAGTGCACTATAAAGCTAGCCACAGCAACTGCAACACAGGTTTGATCCCTGGCCAAGGAGATGACCCACATGGCACAGCAGACCTATCCTGTCTCACCCAATGCTCCTCTCAGCAGTATATTTCAGTTAGTCTGCCTGTTCTGTTTCCCACTCTGCCTCTGGTGAATCCTCTCAATCCCTGCACCTCTGGCCTGTACCCTAATTCTTGTATGCATAAATAAATCTAAAAAAATATTGCAAACAGTTAAGAATAACAATTTTATAAATAAAACAAGGGGGGAATCTTTACTGATACCAAGACTTGTCAAATCATCACTAAAACAGAATAGCAACCTGCAGTCTGGGAGAAGATAATGGCAATTTACTTTAAACCACACACACAACAAAACAAAACAGTTTTACCCCAGTTCCCTAAACAAATTCTATTTCAACTATAAAAGTTCTCTTTTTAAGGAATTCTCCTGCACTGCTAGCAGGAATGCAAAATGATCCAACCAGATGGATCCCTGTGTGGAGGTTCCTCAGATTACTAAAAATAGAGCTTCCATACTACGACCCAGCAATTCTATTCCTAGGAATCTACCAAAAAAAGATAAAACCTTAATAATTCAAAAGATGCCTGCATCCCTATGTTTACTGCAGCACTATTTATAATAGTTAAGATATGGAAACAACCCCAAATACCCAAAAATATGTGACTGGGTCAAGAAAATGTGGTATATATACACAATGGAATATTACTCAGCAATCAAAAAAGATGAATTCATGCCACTCATAGCAACATGGATGAAGATGGAAGGGATTATGCTCAGTGAAACAAGCCAAAAGAAAAAGAAAAATATCAAATGGTTTTACCTATAGGAGGAATGTAGGGGAATGAAATAAGCAATGGGGGGGGGGGAATAATGAGCCAAAATTAACTGGTAACTATAAATCAGAGACTTTTTGCAGGGGAGGAGAAGGGAAAGAGCAAGGGATCAAAACAAGGGAGAGAAGCACAAAAAAGAATATGGTGGTGGTGCACAGGTGAATTAGTGGTAGGGATTTTATGGGACTATACCTGGGAAGAGAAAGCAAACATTGTACAAAAGTGAATAATGATCTTAAATATATATAAATAAATAAATTTTTAAATAAAGGCTTATTTCCCACCCCCAAAAAGAGTATCTTTTTAAGGTAAATATTGCTTACCTGTTCCCTACTGAATCTTGAGAGATCTGAAAGTTTGGAATGATAGAGGAAACACCATATTCATCCTGATACTTCTTACAAGATTTGTAATGATGTCTCATGCGGTAAAATTTAACCTGTAAATTTTTGATTAAAATGTAATATGACTTAATTTAAAAATCCTATTATTTGAGATAATGTCAACAGGAGGGAAAAAAATTAAAAATAGGTAACTATACCATCTAAGCAAGAGTTTTTTTGGCGTTTTTAGTAAATGGAGATGAAAAGGCTTAACTTTCTATTCTCTACATGCAGAGACAATGGAGAAAAGTCCATCTGTCCATGGACAACTCACTGTGAAAACCATAATTTTATGCTTCAAATAGTATTACCAAAAAGTTAAGCAAAAAGTAAAAAAGATACCTCATATTTTGGGGCTTTTACCTATTTATTCTACAGCAACATAGCAGAATTAGAAAATACTTTTAAAAAAGTAAGTTCGCTGATTAACATTTGGACATTTTCAGTTTCACACTGAAGAGTAGAGTCAGAATTTCTAAAGTGTGTTTTGCAACTTCACTCTATTATCCTGTCAGTTAACAATTTCCTCGAAGATACGGAAAAGCAGATCTGACTTATGTGAGCGCATTAAAGTACAACTGGTTTTGCTCAACCTTTATTAGTTGTTTGATAAAGTGGCAGCAATCAATCCATAAATACATGGATAGACTCCAAGTCTAACTTCCCTTCATCATTTCATTCCCTCACAAAAATGACAGAATAAGAAAATCCAAGCTGGGGAATTAATGTCAGTTATTTGCCAATATTTGATTTTCCTTAAAAATTAAGCAAAGTAACTGACCTAATTTCTTAGACAAATACATAAATAATCCAATTAAAAAGGGTAACTAGAGAATTTCCTTGACAATATAAATTCAGTTGGTTCGTTTCTGTATGTAAACTGAAATAACAATGCCACCATCAGAAACTTAAGGGTTGAATTTGTAATGGGGTTTTAGTTAGTTAAATAAATACCAACTGGCTCATTTAATTCATTTAATAATCACTGAGTAATAACTTTGAGAAAAATACCATGCTAAAAATTATGACAATTCAGAAATTATACCTTTCAACTTCTGTTCTCAGTAAGTTTACAAACTAGTAAATATGTAAGTCACAGATTTGTGGACCATCCTTTACCCAATTCCCAACCAAAATTATTCCTTACTCATCAAAACAGAACCCACCAAGAAAATACAAAGAATTTCAAAGGAGGAACTTGACTTTAAGAGCCATATCACAATTACTCTACCTGTTTTGCACAGCATCTGCAGCTACCAGAAAACTTCCTCATGATATTTTCAAGGTCTAAGGCCCGTTCAGGACATGCCCTCTCTCTTCTAGTCACATTTCCACGACAGAGGGGACAATGTACTCCGCTTTCTCTCATTGCAGTCAGGAAACATTTTCTACAGAAACTAAACCAAACATTTGTGACACATTAACTATAAGAAATAGTCACTCTTTTTATTTCCATTATTAAACACAAACAATTATGGTTATATATTCATGCTAAATGCGATTATTCATATGTACATTCATCTCAAAATTGCAAAATCATCAGAGTATAAGACTAGTCACTGGACTAGATGGAAATACTGAAAAACTACATTCATATGTGCTTCACAACTTTTTAACATAATACTCATATTATATGTATGTATACACACACATACACATATATACACACACACACACACACATTATCAGGAGTATAACACAAAGCAATCACTGGATCTTGTCCTGTGTCATTTACTAGCTATGTGATCTTAGGCAACACACTTAACCACAGTGGAGCTCCATTTCTTCCCCAAATAAAACAAGATAAAACACAGTGGAGCTCCATTTCTTCCCCAAATAAAACAAGAAGATAAGCCACATCAGGTTTTTTCTCAAATTAATATATACTTTAAATGTTGTCCTACAATATATGAAAAGGTCTACCATTGATTAGATCTACCATAGAATTGATTTGAGAAATTCCAACATAAACAAACTTTAGAGGTTCCTCTGCTAAGAAAAACATAGTTGTTACACATATTTATGTGATGAAGAAACATGAAAATCTGCCACAAGAGTGTGCACTGGAACATTCATTTGATAACTATTTAAGAACTCTTTCAAATGTAAACATCTATAACCAAACATTCTATTTGGAACCAAACTTACTAAATTATTATTTCTTCTCTCCTAACCCAACAAAATACCAAACTTAGTCATTTTGTTTTTAGAAAAAATTGATAAGTCACAGTCATCTATATCTGAGACACAGAATAATTATATATATAATCCAATTCCCTATGAATATAAACAAACTAATCTTCCTAAGCAATAATAACAAAAGTTGACAGGGACTAATGTAATAGTGGATCATAGGATCTAAGCTTTCTAACTATATAGCAGTCAAATACAAAGTCAAATTCCTTATAAAAAGTTTTCTCATTCAAATAATAACAGTATCTATACTTAATAGGGTTGCCTAGAAGATTAAAATAGGTAACAGGTAAAATGTTTATGTACAAGAGCTACACCTGGATAGATCACTGTAAAATTTTAAATAATGACTTTTTACTTCTAATAACTCCCAGAGGGAAAGTAATAAATAGTATACTTATTAAGGAAAGAGAATTAGATTAACTTCAAACTTATCCGCAATAACTGATGATAAACAGAGTATCTTCAAAGCTGAGGGAAAATTGATATATAACCTAAAATTTCATTCTCTGGATACTTAATCATCTAACTTATGTGTTTTAAGCACTTAGAATTTTCCCTTCAAATTTTATCAATTTGTTAGGATTTACATAGGTATTTTTGATATAATGCAAATAACTGTGTTTTGTAAAACTGCATCCTAAAACTTATGGGAGTGGGTAGAAAAATGAGATAGAAGAGGAGGTATGAATCTTTGGGGCAGACTACTTATGAAATCCTGTCACCAAAGCAGTAACACAAACTCAAACAATTCTACTTAACCAAAATACTAGTGCATTTAAAAGTCAATTAAGTACCTAATCAACTCTTTACACTAAAATTTTTTTTAAAGGGGTGAGGGGGACTACAAGGAGTGGTTGACGTTGGTATATTACAGAAATAAAGAGACACATACAATAGTTATTCCAAGAGACTGACTGGCTAAACTGAACCTAGAAGAATGTAGGCTGAGCACTTTTGTGTATAATTCTATTCCATTCAGTGTAATTTTAGTGTACTTTGCTTCAGCTGTCATTTGCTAGTTGCCCAAAACATTAAAGTACACAGGGAAAAAGCATACATAAATAAATTCTCATATAGTGAACAAAAGTGTATCACTATTCAATCTATCACTTGTCTTTAACCATGTTTGTGATCTGATACAGAAAACTTTTAATATAGTCGAAATCCTTATCTTTCATAAAATGGTCTGTGTTTTTGAATAAACCCATCTTTCCCCCATTAATGTGTGATATCATTTTATCAAAGACAAAAGTAGAACTATTTCTTAAGTTCTCTAATGTTTTACTGATCATTTTATTGGCAACACACTAGCATCCTGAGAATTATCTGGGAAAGAGGTTAATTTCATTTCAAATTTCAAGCCAATAAATGCCACAGCTCTCCATTAATTCAAGTCTCATGCCTTTCAATTCTTAAAATTTCCCTATATAGCCCTTGTATACTTTTATTAGATTTATTCTAAAAAATTCTAATTTTGTTTATTCCAATTTATAAACCATAGTTTTCATTGCTGTTATAGACAGGATTTTCTTGTAGCTTTTTATCTGATTATTATTGGTATAAAAATGTTGGTATGGCCCTCCCTGGTGGCACAGCGGGTTAAAGCACAGCACTAAGAAGCTTAAGCCACTTCCACATGAGTTCGATCACCGCCTGCCCTGGAGGTGACCACATGGCGTGGCAGACCTCTCCTCACCCGCCTGCTGCTCCCCTCAGCAGTGTACATCGTGGATCTGCCTGTCCTGCCCCCTATTCTGTCTCTGGTGAATCCTCTCACCCTCCGCATCTCTGGCCTGGTACCCCAGTTCTGTATGAATAAATAAATCTTTTAAAAAAAAATGTTGGTATTTCTGCTCTTGCATCTAGAAAATCTCTGTACTCTTACTTGTTCCAAAAGTCAGTCCATTGTTTCTCTTAGATGATGTGATTTCTGTTAGGTTTTGTATCTTTGTATATCTTCTTTTCTCATTTATTTACCTAAAGCCTGAAGTAAAATTTCAAATAGTAGAAGAGATTCAAATATCCCTATGTAGTTCCTGAGTTGAAAAGGACTTAAAATTAACTATTCAATATGCTCGAAGATGTGCATAAGTTGATGTATTTTCCTGTTATCCATATGGAATGTCTCTCCCCCTTGAATTAAATCTTAAGGACTCAAATGCACATACCCAAAACACTATTCTATACTGGTTATAGATGGATTAGCTTCAGTTTAGCCTGAAAAAAAATAAATAAACTACTCATTGTAATAAATGTTAAAGAACACTTGACACTATGTTTGATAGTCCCTCCAAAAAATTTTTTTATTAAACTTTTCAATTTTTTTTGCATCATTGTTCATTTCATACAGTATTTAATATCTCCCTTCAGGTGTAGTCCCTGTAAATCTCCCACTACCACATCACCTGTGAACCATCACCATCACCCCCCAAACCCGTGCTTTTTCCCATCAGTTTTAACCCCTCTCCCCTTCTGTATGCCTCAGATCTATAGCTAGCTAACATTTGTGAAAAAGTATATGAGTGGGGTGAGATATATGTTATATCTACCTATACATGCATAAAAAGTATGCATATATGTGTGTATGTATATATATGTAAGAGGATACCAAAGAATTCAACAGTGACATATACTAGGCAATTTGGGGGGAAAGGAGGATTCAAGAAATGATAAGAAAAATCAGCAAACTTCATCTTATACAGATTGTATTTTTTTAATCGTGACTATATTACCTACTTTTAAATGTATCAATTATTAAAAGTTTTAATAGTTAATTAAATATGTACATCAACTTCTTTATGCCTTTCTGTATTGTTTCTTGAAAGAAAAAAATCCTTTGGAAAGGATATAAAATTAAAGAAATGCATATGCACTAACATGAAAAGACACGAAATTTGTTAAGTGAAAAATAAGTCACGTAAGATGTTGTGCATGATCCCACTTAAACTTTTTAAACTACATGTTTAAATAAGTATTTGTGTTTGACAAAGAAGATTGGATGAAAAGATGCTAACCTCTGTCAAGGGGAATAGGAATAAAAGGGACACCATTTTCATTGACTTTATAATGTAAAACACTACATTCTAAATTAATGTAATGAGACATAACTAGTGTTTAGACAAGGCAGGAAACTGAGACCTTAATTTTAATATTTAATAATGAAATCTCCAGCATTGATACAATAAATATCAAGACACATGGAATTGTTTTTTTAAGAATAATGTAAGGGCTTCCCTGGCATCACAAGGGTTAAAGTCTCAGCTCTATCAAGCTACCACAATCCACACAGCATGAGTTCAATCATCCTACAAAGAGCTAAGCCCATAAGGCATAGTAGACCTCTCCAGTCTCACCTGGTCCCCTCAGCAGTGTATTTCAGTAGATCTACCTGTTTTGCTTCCAAATGTCTCTGGTGAATCCTCTCATCCCCCTAATCTGGCCTACACTCTTAGTTCTTCTATCCATAAATAAATACAAAATACATTGTAAAAAAAAAAAAAAACAACACTAAAATGAGACTTTAAAAAAGAATAGTTTTTTTACATGAGAAAGGAAAAATTCAGATTATTTCATAATCAACATAATTCACAAGATGAAATAATACTTTCCAAAATTCCAAATTCAAAATTCCAAATAGAGTATATACTGTCCCAAAATATGTGCAGTTTATATAGTACAAAAGAGTTCTACTTATACAAAACTTTTAATTTAACTACTCACAAGGCCTGCCAGAAAAGAATTCATGGATTCATAAATTTTATTTCTAAGAATATATGCAAAAGTCCTAAACTAAACACAGTGGTGTAATAGGAAAGGTATGGAATATAAAATGTTTGTAACTGTAAAAGGGTCATGTGAGGAATCTTTGTGATGATGTTCTATACCTTCATTTTATCCTTATGAATATTCTGGCTATATTTATAAGATGTTAACACTGGGGGGAAAACGGGTAAGGATTTTTGTGTTATTTCTTAGAACTGCATGTGAATATCCAATAACCTCGAAAGAAAAAAGCTATTTTCTTTACAAAGCAAAAATAAACAAATCCTATCAGATTTTTAAAAATTATGTCCATGTTTTATAAAGTATATTTGCTGCGTAAATATGTACTAAGTATTTACTACATAACAGACTATAGGAAACAAATAACAAAAATTTCTTCCCACCCTGATAATGACATAAAGCATTGCGTGCATACAGG